TACCACTTTAGAAGATTGAAAAATATGAGAAATGTTTCGAATAAGAAATCAGTGTATTAATCGTTGCGGCGATGCGAGGATGGTTATTACTTAATTAAACTCTGGGAATTGAATTGTTATGAGGGAAGACTTCGTGGAAGTCAAGTGTATACATCGAAGTTTCACAAGTGAAATATTTGGACAGTATTTGAAGAGGTCAAACTATGTCGTGTATTTCAGAGGATCAACGGACGTTGATCAATCGAGAATGAAAGAGTGATTCTTCGAGTTGATGAAGCTGATGTTGCGGGGTGTCTTGATGGGTGTACGCTTTGAACGTATCCATTTTGGGTGATTGGGAAGTTGAGGATTAACCAAGTTGTTTTACGGTTGGCATCTTATGCATAAAGTGTCACAACATGGTTTAGGTATCGAGCATTGAGTTTTAGCGAGTATGCGGGATTGTTGGATTTGGGCTAGTGAGTTATAGTCGCAAGTCGTCAGTATACGTCCTAGGATGAGTGGTGTGTCGCAGTTCAGTTATGTTTGGGTAACTTGGTATTGTTCAAGGGTGGTACGTTGGTAATCTACAAGGACGATGTGACCTTGTGATTTTCTGGAATGAGAGCGATAACGGCAAGTGTAATTCTTGAGTTCGTACTTATGCGTGAATGATGGCATCTTTTCGTGTTTGCGTAGCACGCGTGGTTTTATCCTTTCTGATTGTTTCAGTTTTGGTTTGTATAACCATTTTGTTGTTTTTGTTTTAGCGATGGTGTCGGTGTTGTGTCGTAGGACTTTATGTTCCTACCTTTGGTGACTCGTTTCCGAGGCGTCGGTTCGAGTGTATGACTAATTCTATGGTTGAGACGTTAGGATGGTACCGATCTTGTTTGTTTAGTTCTCGAGCGAACCGGTGTGTCTGCGACTTGTTTAGTTGTTGGGTGTTAGCTGATTGTCGAGTGCATTGTGTGGGCTTCGCATCTCGGCATGGTTTTTCTTGTCTAAACGTTATGGCTAGGGAGATGTCCTTGTGTTAGGTGTATTTTGTATGTTGTTTAATTAACGCAAGGTTTGGGTGGACGAATGCGTAGGCATGTCCCGATTTGTTCGTTTTGGTCAAAATTTTCGAGGCCGAAAATCTTTAAGTGGGGGAGAGTTGTAACACCCCATTTTTGATTAAATGTTAATTCGATTATTTGAAATAAAAATATTCATAATGATAAAATACTATTTTGAGTAATATTAATTTGGTGTGTAGTAATATTTGACTTGGTTTGATTAATTGGCATGATTAGGTTTATATAGAATACATATTATTTAATGTAATATTGTTTAATAGGGTTATATATTATAATTTGAATTAAATAATTGTTGGGGCCAAATTACAATTTTAGAAAGATAGAGGGAGGAAAGTTAGTAGTAGAAGGGGAGTTTTATAAAATAGAAAAGGAGAGTTAGTAAGAGAAGAAAGAAAAGAGGAGAAAGAAGAAAGAAAAGAGGAGAAGAGGAGAAAGAGAGCTAGGCTTGGAGTTGCAACATCTTCATCATCTTGTTTCAAGAAAACCCACACCAAGGTAAGGGGTTTGATTCTCCATCTCATATTGTTAGGTTCTGTATGATACATTTTGGATTTAGGGGTAAAATTGATAGTTGATTTTTAGGGTTTTGTTGGTTGATTGTTAGAATGGTTTAGAAAAGTTGGATTAGGAGTATGGTTTGTGGGTGTATTAAGTGCTAGCTTGTGGAAATTAAGAGTATTGAAATGGGAAAGAAAACCATGGTAGTTGAATGAGAAAAACTCAAAAGAGTGGAGTTTTCACGCAGGCCTCACAACACGGGCCGTGTTGCAGCACACGGGTGCCCGTGTTGCTGCTCTGACTTGGCTTTTCCCAAAAACCGTTTCGGCCATAACTTTTGAACTGTAACTCCGATTTAGGCGCCGTTTGATGCGTTGGAAAGCTAGTGAAATTTTCTATATGATTATAAGGAATTATGTAGCTTTAAGAGCTTATTTTAATAAGTGATTATTGGAGAAAGTGTTAATGTTTATAGGTGAATTTGATTGTTATGTATTTTAGTGAAGTGTTTGCTGATGTTTGGTGTACTAAATGAATGATCTTGTGAGTTATACATCAAATGCAAAATGCATTATGTTTTGATATGGTTTGAATGATTGGGTATGACAACATGTATGCTTATGTTTAATATGCATGTTTGTATGAAAATGATGATGCTACATGATGATATGGGAGGCTTGTGATGAATTGTTCATGACTAAATGATTTTTGTTGATAATGTTGAAATATACTTTCCGATTTGGAATTATTGATAGTTGATGGTTTATGTTTTGGTTGAGTAAGTAATCTCGTTTGTATACATTTTACTTGACGTTGAGATTGATAAATTATATGTATGCATGCATGTACAATAGTTGATGTTCCATTGGTTGGATTTGATGGCATGTGTATGTTAAGATTGTTGTGAGTCTTAATTGCATGCATTGGTTATATTGTACATTGCATGGCATGGTGGTCTTGAAACAGAGACGGTGGAACATTGGGTCCACAATATCTAGACGGTGACCTTATTGTGGGAAAAGACGTAGTGACCTTGATCCGGAATGGAAACATAGGTGGTGGAACATTGGGTCCACAATATCTAGACGGTGACCCTATTGTGGGAAAAGACGTAGTGACCTTGATCCGGAAGGGAAACATAGGTGGTGGAACATTGGGTCCACAATATCTAGACGGTGACCCTATTGTGGGAAAAGACGTAGTGACCTTGATCCGGAATGGAAACATAGGTGGTGGAACCTTGGGTCCACGAGTCGGTACCGCATTTGCATACGTTGAGTCGTGTTGTGAGTCACATGTATAATTGTGCATGATATGTATGTGTGTTGATGTGTTTGATTATGTGCCAATATTGTTGTTGTTTGAATTATGGTTATGTGCCAAGGATGTGAGTATTCGGATAATCGGCTTACATGGTTAATGTGTTGGAAATGGACTCCTTGAGTAAGGATGCTACAGGTGATAAAATGAACATGATCATTATGTATTGCTTTAATTATTGCCATTTCATTTACTTAAAATTATATGTTATATGATTATTGGAATTCTTACCCTTTTGTTGGCCAATGCTTTTGATGGCATTGTGCAGGTACCGAGGACGGTAGCGCGAGGCGCTAGCTAACGGATGCATTGGATTGCAATCTGTTTTATTTGATTAGAGTCGAGTCGATGCTCTGGTAGTAACACAGGGGGGGAATTTATTAGTGTCGAACTCGATTATTTTGTATTTGGATTATGATGTATATAATCCTTATTCGTGTATATGATGGCTTGTATATGTGAGACTTGATAACATATGCTTATGTGAATTATGATGGCTTGATGCCTTGAATTATGTTTTGATTCCTCCATAAATGGAGATGATGTGAAATTATGAAACTCCGTTGCGTTTGCACGAGAGAATGAAGTAAATATTTATAGTATGTTTGTTTTTTGTTGGAATGCTTATACTTTCAAACATACCCTGTCTGTTTTTCCTTAAAAACTTTGGAATGTGATGTGTGTTGTGGCATCCCTTCCGTGCAATTTTATTTCTCTGATTTTAATCTTTACCTTTAATTTGGATATTTAGAAGGGGTGTTACACCAATCCCCAAGAAGAAACAGACCCACAAACACCCAACCACAGTCCCCACCACAACACAATTACACTCAAATGCCCCACAACCAACCACAATCACCACCTCATTACCAATACCCTGATATGCCTCACACCCAACCACAATACCAATCACAATACCAACACATCCGCATACCCCACACACATTTTCAGTCTTCCGTATATCCCAATATGGGCCCCTCAACATTCAGTCTTAGCCCTGATATGGGAATGTCGGAAGATTACGAACAAACCGACCCAGCCTACCATCAACCACAATATCACCAAACCACCCAACATCCTCAATACCAAACACCCCAAGATCCATTTCCTTTCTACCCACCGTACTCAGACGATCAATGCTACATACCCACCATGGAACCCCACCCACCGCCAACACGACCAAACTTTGAGGGTATGGGTAACCGACTGTACCAAAGCGGATCTTCTAGATATGAAGATCTGACTGATTTTATGGATCCGGACCGCATTGACTTCGCTGGGCCATCGACCCTGCCGCAGCAGGAAACGCGACGACACCCAGCATGGGAAAGACGAGGACGGAGATGCGGAACCGGGGGTCATTACCGGATTCCGGAGGATCACTGATTTATCTGTTTTTTTTTCCTGTATTTTTTTATCTATTTTTTTTTATCTGTTTTTTTAATGTAATACAGTTGGATGTAGTTTTTTTTTTAATAAAAAGTCCATTTTGTTGATCCTGTATCCAATACGCAACGCACCGGACAAAAAAATTTTCAAATTTTACCCTAAAATAACACCTAGGCGCCATCTCACTTGGCTTAGGGCATGCCCTAAGCACATAGGCGCCAAGTGAGATGGCGCATCCCCTTAAAAATTGGGAGTAGGCGCCAATTCAGATGGCTCCTCCTTTGGGGAGTCATCTGAAACATGGTTATTTGCGTAATTTTTTCCGAAACGCGGTTATTTGCGAAATTTTTTTTTAATACATGATTATTCAAAAAAAAAATTTACACAAGGTGTCTGATACCGTATGTTATACGGTTTGTTATTTAAATAATAGTTTTTTTTTTTTTTTGTACTTATTAAACCTACACTTGTTTTGGATGTATATTGTTACGGTGTTCATATACGGTGTACATTTTAAATATTGGGGTATTATTGCCCTTTCGTTAAAAAGGATAAAAAAGTTTGAACCTATTAATACCCCCAAGCTATATCTGGAGAAGCATATTAAATGCTAGAGAGCTGGTAGAGGAATGATCTAGATTGAGCATTGGCATTGGAAGGAAAGTTAGAGCCCTGCAGAATAGATGGGTTCCAAATTATGTTGGTCAAAAATCTTAGTATCAGAACAGTGCAATGGACAAAGAAACTTTGGTAAGCGAATTTATTGACAATGATTTGTGTTGTTGGGACCAGGTGAGGATTAGGAATTGCTTTAGCCCCATGGAAGCCAATAATATTATGAGCATTCCTCTATCTTGGAGACTTCCTGAAGACAGGCTAATTTGGATGGCTGGGAAAAATGGTGCCTACTCTGTTAGGACAACTTATCCTAGTCTTAGGGCCAAGAAAATTTCAAAGGCGCCAGGACCTTCGTGCCAAATGTTTCAGAGATTGTGGAAGCACGTCTGGTCAGCACCTGTGAACAACAGGATTCGAAATTGCTTGGGAAAGGAACAAATATTCCCCATGGTTGTCCGATCTGTCATGCGCACGAAGAAACCATTGAACATCTGTTCCTCGAATGTAACACCACAAAAAATGGTGTGGTTCTCTTCTCCCTTAGATCTGCACATTCCCCCTAATCCTGGTGTTATGTATTGGCTAGATCACTAGTTGTCTGTTGCCTATCCCTATAGGATCCAACTTGTCTGCTACACTCTACATAGTATTTGGGTTAGCAGGAATCAAGTGCTTTTTAATGCAGGTAGTTTCAACACTTGATAGGGTGAAGGAGTTTTCTGAGGCAAACCCTGGTAGAATGGAACAATAGTGATGGCTTGTGTGATGTTTATCAAGGATGGGGAGATTATCCATTCTACTACAAAGCGTGAGAATTCAGCAGATCCAGCAACTGCAGAAGCTTTGGCAATTGGGTGGGCGTTAAAAATGGCTCTAGACTTGAAAATTGAAAGTATTTTGGTGTTATCTGATGCTCTGGCCGTGGTAGATTGTATCAATGGCTTGGCTACCTCTTCTTGAGTCAATTATCTTAGACTGCTTAATGATGTGTAATAGTTTTAAGTATTGTGTCTTTCTATACCTCAATTGTGATTGTAACAAACATGCTCACTCGGATCTTTCTGATCCTTTTCCTTGTTGAATGAATATTTGCATAAAAAAAAAGTTATCATATGAGTGGAATGAAATTGAATAACTTTCTCCAGAACCCCGACAAGTTTGCATTTACATTACCAACTTATATCATCCAAATTTTACTCCAAATATATTAGAGGTTTTTTTAGATTTGTGTGCAGATTGAAAGGTGATGTAAAATGAAACTACGAATCCTAACCAGGCAAAACATTTCTTACACTCGACTGGTACAATTTTGAAGTAATTTCTAAATTCTAAAGATCAGCTATAGCTTTTGTGTGACATTGATTATCTCTGTAGTAGACTATATTTTCATCTTTAGGCTGCAATGGGAGATTAGTATTGTTTTCCTAAGCAGAACATTTATAATTTTCCCATCACTGTACATGATAATATGAACCTGCATTGCCAATCCAATAACACTTTACACCTATGAGTTCTTGCCAAATGAATATAGCCTAGAAGGACTACAAGTATCGATTTCCATCTTAGTCCTCGTCATTGTAAGTAACTTGGTCTAAAGATGGCCGTTTAAGCCTTTGAAATATCTCATCAAGTGACTCTGACGAGGACACTCGAGAGACTGTATTTTCCTGTATTTGTCGTATAGGTAAAAACTTTTTGGCCCCTATGTTGGACTTGAAACTCTGAAAGCCTGTCTTCATTGTGTGCCACGTCGAAGCCAACCCTGAAGACGGTGCTCCAGCTGAACTTTTAGAATTAGTATTGCCTTCATCAAGCGCAGAATAAGCAGAGGCTGCGTTTTTCTCTTCTGCCTTGAATTTAGATAATGACCCACCCTGCCCTCTAATTGCCGCATACTTGTTGCTTATGGCTTCTCTGCTCGAGCCATATCTTCTTGTCTCTTCATCCAAAGTTTTTGTCAGACCTCCGTTCCCTTCTTCAGTAATTAAATCAGTTGTCTTCATTTCAACACCGTTTCTCTCCTGAAAAAGTACAAGGTATAAGATGAGTAAACTATAACGCCAAAAGAAAGTAGTAGTTCCAAATGTCATACTAAATTGGATATGATACATGACAAAAAACAATAGACATCATATCGTTTCCACTTTTCTACATACCCTATTATTGCTGCCTGATTCAATATCAATTCCATTGAAATTCCTTGCGAGCGGAACAACTTGCTCTTCCCCGATTTTGCGCCCTTGTTCAAGCCAAGACCGCTCTACAAATAAAACAGAACCAATCAGGCATAAGTATTGTAAAGTCAGCATTCAATAATTCACATCAGATTTGTCATTGACCAAATTGAGATAAAGTTTTAACGATGGGAATTTTCATTTGATACCTTTTTGTAAAATAATTACTCCAGATGGATCCAAACCATCCATATCCTCAGCTTCAGTTTTGAAAATATATCTCTTCCAGCTCCCCAAAAAATCAAATACTTTGTCAAAGAAGTCGCTTGCAACCAAAAGGGTGTATGTAACCATAATAAGTGGATAGATTTTGTTAAACCTATCCCCAAATAAAGGGACGGCATTGTCAATGTTCCCCATTCGCTGCAATCATAGATAAATTGTGCACTGGATTTAAAAAAATGACAAAAAGAGCAAAAAAACGATTTGAGGAAAAAGTTCAGATAGTTTAGCGGTTGCTAGCTAAGTCAAGCACAAATGAGAAAAGTTATCATGAAACAAAAATAGAGAAGACATGTAAAACTAAATCAAAATCAACAGAACCACACAAACAACATTAATTATGAAGAGAACAAAACTAAGAAAAAAAAGTTACATTATGTATATAAAAGTGGATTCATAAGATACCTTTTCAAATATAGTTTCTTTATGAGGACCGAGGCGAATGAGATTGAGGAAGTTGTATGATATAGGGGGAGCATAACGAGCCACCATCCTGGGGAAAAAATAGGATATAAATATAACAGGTATTCATTTGCATCATAGGGAATTAAAAAAAACAAATATGAGTGGTAGCAATATATCAAATAAAAAAACATACGAGCATATCATAAGCAAGTTAACTGAGCTGGTCTGTCTGGGCGTCAGCGAGTAAAACATCAACATTCCAATTTTGAATAAAGAATAGTATGTGCAGATGCACATGTACATGAGTGGAACAAAAGCAAATGCCTGTAAAAGAAGTTGAAGGTAAGTTATTTCATACAACACAAAGATCAGAGTGTGAACCGAAAAATACATCACAGTACATGATTCACATTATTAAAAATAGACTGTTATAATTTACAATACAGGGACACTGAACCCTAAACTGCCATGAATGCAAAGATGCTAGAACAGTTGAGCACAACATTGACATGAGATTCAAAATGAAGTTTGACTTCATTACAAATAAGTAGCAGTGTGGAATCAAAAATATTTTATTGAAGCAAAGACACATGAGATTCCATTAGCAATTTGTTTGCATTATGTACATCCCTGAACCTAAAGGCTTGGCTTGAAAGCTTATTTCATTAAAAAGAGAGACAAAGACACGCCCATATTAAAAGAAAATCACATGATATTGACCAATGACTAACGAAGGCCGTCTAAATCACGAAGAAGTTATAAGAGATAGGACAGACTTCATATAAAATGTTATATGATTTCCAGGTCTATGAATCAGATTCCCGGAAATAAAAATGATTAGGAAATGACTATACCCATGTTTGTTATAAGATTGAGAAAAGAAAACTATTCTCAGGTATAAAGATTCCTAGGAATGGAATATCTTCCCATAACTTCCACAATTCACGTGACTTTACTCCCATGTGAGAATGTGGAAATGTATATTGCCATGAAATTTGATAGATTTTATTTATAAAAAAAAGCCAATTTTATGGGAATATTAAATTATGTTGCCAACACATTTTTTAGAAAACGCCCTGGAATTAAATTCCCATCACTGTATTCCCAAGTAAGTTATTCTTGGAAATAATTTTTAAATTCATGAAACAAACGCCCTCTAAAAAATAATATATCACAATATCTTGATATTATTATGTTAGAATATCTTAGTCTACCTCCTAAAATCAGTATCTAATCCTAGAGTATACTATATTATCTCCTAAGATTAGTTTTCTATATTACTTAGATTTTATTATGATCTTCCTAATTTTCCTATTTATTTAGGATTGGGAGAGGCCTTCTATTGCATCCCTATAAATAGGGGTTAATGATTTAGTCTTTTGTACCAATTTATTATCAAATAATATTCAAAATTCTTATTATTCTTTCCTCTTTTTATCTAAAATTTCCAATTTAAGTTTAAACAATTTCACAATAAAATCTTCATCCAAAACTCTTTTAAAAAGAAGGAAAATATTTTACATACATAAACAGCACTCAATGTCCAACATATGAAAAACAAATAACTCTAACAGACTCGGTCTACCTGCAGATGTTATATCAATCGAGAATCACATTTTAAATAGGAACATACATATAGCATATATAAATGGCCACCATACGGAAAAAATCTTTTAATAGAACCGATTTACCTGCACAAGCAGCTCCTGTGTTCGTACTGATTTTATAAGAATGGAGAAAAGCGATAGATCGATGCTAGGCAGCAGAGTTGCCTCTGCTAAAAGAATCGCAACAGACATGATACCAAGTAAAACAGCAAAGCCTTTTTCAACTTGTTTCCTTATAACGCATTTCCAAAAAAACTCTGCAAAGAATAGCCATTAATTCAGAACCACAATTTCAATGCCTCTAACGAAAATATTCCTTATTCAGAAAAGAGAATGGGGAGTTATCCTTGCATGATTAAATAATGCAACATAACATGTACCGAGAAATCTAATTTGAGAAAGGCAAGACAAAAGTGAGATAAAACCTTAGAAGCCCGGATACATAGTACGATATGGATACGATACGACGCGGTCAAGACATGATAAGAAAAATTTATTCGTATATATGTATTTGTAAAAATCCACAATGTTTATAAAGATTGTATAGCCAATTGCTCATAAATATAAAAACATATCAAAGTAGTCAACACATTATTTTGCTCCTATGCAATATTGCAATCATGCACAACAAAATAAATAAATAAAATGTAAAATATATCAATAGAGTTACTACAGATGTCTCATTTACATAGTAACTGTCTGAGCAAGTCAGATACGAAGCACTACTTTTTTGTTAATATCTTACTTGACAAAAAATACAATGTTCACATAGCATCACAAAAATCTAATCAAAAGAACATTACAAATGATAAATAAATAAATAGTCCATGCTATTCCAGATGTAGCAAAAGAATATTCCATGAAGTTAGGAAAAAACGGGATTAATAATAAGTCTTGTAGTTACCCAAAGTATCAAATATGGACCCCAACTTGCCAGTCCGATCAGGTCTGATGGTTGAATTATATTCCCTGAAAATATAGCATGAAGTATTGGGTAAGGTGAGGGTTCTAGAACTGCAATATATTATAGGAGTTTGAAGTATCGTCCTAAACCAACAAAGCAGAAAAAATAAGGTAGAAGCAAACCATCCAGTTGAGTTGCGACGTTCATAATTCTTTATTGTAT